ACATCAATATTTTAAACTATAATAAAAAATTATGAATAAAATAGTTACATAGAATGTTTATTAATCTAACTTTATATAAGACCCCTCAGTTTTCCCTTTATTACTCAAATTTTTCTCATTTTTCTAATTTTAATAAAAAAATTGAAAGTCAAAATAGTTTAGATAAAATAATAAAATAGGAGTAAAACATAAAAAATGTGAAAAAAAATTTTATGTCTTTATTCCAAAAATAGGAGTTAGAATAAAAATAAAATATCATTCATGAAAGAAAAAATAGGTTTGATTATATTATGTGACATGTCTGATATTTAAAACAAAATCTTATAATATATAAAGTACAATTACAAATGTATTATTTATAATAAATATTGCATAAATAAATTGAGGTGTGACGTAACCATTAAAACTTTTTAAAATTTAACATCTTGATATTTATGCTAACTTTATATTATGATTAGTTTTTTTTTGCAAAAGTAGTTTTTTGTGTATGAAAAATAACAATAATTTTTTTCCCCAAAGATATTTATTAAGATAACGTGATGATGATGATCATAATAATAATAATGATAATAATAATAATAATATTTTATAACAACAAAAATTAGAATTAGAATAATAAAAAATACACTAAAATAAATTTTTAAAGGTTTTTTTAGGTTTTCCAGATTTTTGAAGTTTTCAAATATGTTTCCGTTCCTTCTAATTTTTCCAGCTTTTTTTTCTTCTAGCCCTAAAGAACACTTCTAAATATCTGTGATCAAATAGTGTTTATATTTGTGTGATATAAGAATGGAGTACACTAAATTTTATAAGTATCTTTCCAAAAAAATAGGTTGCCGTGTCCCAATGTCTCAAATCACACGAAAGCACATGAGGTATTGAGCCGTCTTTTTGGTACGCCATTCAAAGTTCTTCCACGCGGTTCCTTTAGCTTCTTCCCTCACAAACTCCTCCCAAACTTGTTATATACTTCCTCCTTCCCAGAATATTTGTCTAATTTGATTTTTTCGAGTCAAACTAGACAAATTTTGAGTTTCAATTAAATAAAAACCGTAAAATATTTTAATATAAAAATGACTTTATTGGATTTATCGTATTGAGAACTTTCAAAATTGTATTTCATTATGCTAGAATGTAATACAAATTGAGAGTAACTAGAGTTTAAAATTTGTCCATTTTGACTCGAAAAAGTCAAAATGGATAAATAATGGGACGGAGGTAGTATCCCACGATGCTTACGAGCATTTGACACGTAGGACATCATCCTCAAGACGTTTCAATTAATTTTAATTACACACTGTATTGGCCGCACACGTCACATAACGTGTTCTTAATGTGCCAATCACTTCTAAACTCCAACCTAAATCACAAATTAAACTCATTCCTTTTTTTATTTAAAATTCTCTCTCGTTTAAAAAAACACTTTCTGTACCAAAAAACTACGAGAACTTTTATTTATTTGTATGTTTTTATGATTATTTGACAAAATCAAATATTCTAGTAACTTCTTATTTTGAAAAAATTTTGAGGTTGCTTTTAAATGTGTAAATTTTAACAACAATGCTTTGATTCCCCTCTTTTTATGAGAGGAATATTTAACTACAATTCTTTGATTCCCTCTATTTGTGTCTAATACTTCTAGGCAAAGCAAAATGGCTAGAAAAAACTACTTTGTAGCTTTAGGGTATCATAGAATAAAACAAAGTAACTTTTTAAAATGAGTCCGGTTCCATGGCCCCTGGAAGCCACTGCCCCCTACGGAGCTCCGTTTATAAAATTGATGATTTCTACCCCCTAACCTCCCCGGTAAACCCCCCGCTAAGTCTCGACCCAAACTAATCACCCCACCTACGTCAATTGCACCTCGTAAGTATAAAGTCAAAACTTTTGACTTTAAAGTCAATTATACTTACGAGGTGCAATTGACGTAGGTAGGGTGATTAGTTTGGGTGGGGAATTTAAAATTGTATGTACTTCTTTACGGTATGATAGATTAAAACAAAATAACTTTTTAAAATTGTAACCGTTTCTTTTAATAGTTAAGTATCAGTTAGTCACATAATTTTCCACACTCATTATGTGTCATTTGGTAATAGTTGTTCTATTTTTAAACATAGAAATCAGGTTGTTTGCATCCGACTCTTCTTTAGGCTATGCGGTGTGGGGATCTGAGGAAGCTGAGTTTGCGTTGCCACCGATTGGAAACACCGCCACCCTCCCTTGGTGTTCGGCGTTTTCAGCGAGATCTCCCTGACACTCTTAATTCGCTTCTTCTTGTCTCTAGCTCGGTGACTTCAGTGCCCACATTGAAGCTTCGGGATGGGGATGGAGACGGGTGAGGAAGCAAATTGAGGTGGCCGATCAGGGATCGGCAACATGATTTTGTGTCAATTATTTGGGAATAACCGATAGGAATCAATTGTATTAGTTATTTCTTAATAACGGATGCAAAAGCCTAGGTGAAAATTTACACTAAATCTCTGAGAGTCTTTTTGCATTGGTTATTTGGAATACCCAAATAACAATGCAATATGATTTCTTATACTCGGCACCAAAAATACGCACATAAGCACCTCTTTAGCATCGATTTTTAGAGGCCAGTGTAATTGTTTAGAGCAATTACATCGTTGTTTTTTGCATCGATAAAAAATCGATGCAAAATATCAAAAATAACGACGCAAAAGTTCATCATTCTTATAATAGTGAACGACACTCCAGAGCATTACTCCGTTAGGAGAGAACTTTGAGACACTAAGGGGAGTGTATTCAATTGAGATTGTATTGGGTTTTTTTAGACTTCTAAAAGTTTGTGAATTTAAAAAATTCATACACTCCATGTAGATTTTGTCCAATTTTTCTATTGATTTACATAGACTTCATGGATTTGTATTGTACATACTCCATAATTGGGAATTGTGACACCCGATGAATCTTCTTCCTGGATTTTGCTTTGTCCAAGACGTCCTCTACACGGCAATATCCCCACACTAACAGCTTGGTTCCCGTCGCATGCGATTAGAATTGAAAGATGAGGAAGACATTGCAGATGTGCGGCTAGGTTTCTGATAAAGCATGTTAAGGGTGTGAGGGGGTGGAAGGTCTGTTAATATTGATGAGTCAGCCTTCGCGTGTGCAAATTAACCGGCTAGAACAGATGTATTATTGGAGAAGACGAAGACAGATCTACACAAGGAGCACGGTCCAAATCCATCTAAATGTGAAGTTTGGGATTTGAGATAAGCAATATTTTAGGAGAGAATCCAACAAAATCTATGGAGTATTAAAATTCCATGACTTTTGAATACTTAAAAAGATTTTTTAAGACTTTTTAAAATCTTAATTGAATACTTCAGAATTTTAAAAGACTTTTTAGAAATCTAGATTGAATACCCTCAGATTTTGAAAGTCCAAAAAAAACATACAGACTCTCAATTGAATACACCCCTCTAAAGTAACATTGTTGTAGGGGTACACAAAGTAGGTGGAAATATGAGCTAAGAGGTACCTATATTTATTTTTTAAATATTTCTCATACCCAACAATGTATAGTACGCCATCAATATTTTAAGTCGAGAGTGACTTTTGAACATTGAATGTAGAGAAATTTGGAATAACTTTATGTATGCTTGGCAAAACGATCAGCGAGGTCGGGTTCGAGTTCGGTATTATCGAGTTTGGATTATTTCGAGTTCGGGTCACTTCAGGTTTAGGTCTAAGAGTACTTGTTCATGACCGAAAGTTATCAGATTTAGGTTGATCCAACATGTTAAGAGGCGTATTTAAAAATTAAAATGTTTGCCATTTATAGATCAAGTGATCAACACATTATTCAAAAGAAAGGACAAAATCATAAAAGTTTGCATGTCTACTTGCATCATACCAAAAAATTGCAATATACCCAAAAAATTAGATTTTTGCAGCTAACAAAAAAAGTTGCATATATGAAAAAAATAGAAGATTCTTTCAACATACCCCAAAAAATATATGCATTATACAAAAAGTTTGAGATTCTTGCAACATATCTGATGGTGTAAATTACTTGACCGGTCAAATTATACTAGACCGGTTCTAGAATAGTTTGCTTGATTTGGCAAAGTAAGAAAGGTAAAAACACGCAGATTGACCGGTAGGACTTTAGGTGGAACACCTGTAGCCCAATTTATATTCTAACGGAGATTGCACGGGTGCTTTTACAAGGGAGTAGAGAGAATGAATTCGGATCCCTCTTTCTGAGGTTTACATGAGTATTTATACTAGGCTATGGGGGACAAGACCACGTGCGTCCACGTGGGGGCACGATGCTGATGTGGTGCGAGGTGACTGGTTTCGTCCTCGAGCTGCCTTGTCGACTTGTGAGGGGGATTATTTCCTTTGTCGAGTAGTGCCTTGGATGGATTCTTCAGCATCTCTAGTTGTCCTCTACTGACATGGGTCGCTACACGCCAAGCCCTCGTAGATTCTCTTCTGCCGACACTTTTCAACCCTAGAAACTACACCGGGTAATCTCCGAGGGAAGAATTCATCGAAGTCTGGGAATAAATAGGATGACAACGTAGTTTGACCGGTATACTTTTTTCGTGAAGTATACCGGTCATCGTTTGGCCGATGATATATCGTTTTGCTGACGATTTAAGTCTCTCTTCCAAACTTTTGAGATTGACCGGTCAAATAATTGGTTTTCTCCTTTAACCGGTCGTGGGTGGAATACAACCATCAATATCAAAACAAAAAATTTGCAACAGATGAAAAATCAAATTCTTTTTTATATTCTAAACGTGGTACCGTAATTACATTTTTTGTAGAATGTACCAAAACATGTACCGTCATTTCATTTTTGTAGAATATACCAAAATATTTACCGTCATTACATAATTACAGCATACAACAAAAAATGTAGTATATCAGAAAAAGTACACAATACCATGTTTTGCCAAGTGTAACCTTATGCTAACATGATATGCTTGAGTGCCTATATAAAATGCACACGGAAACCTTTCAATTTTCATTCCACCTGCGAAGAGAAAAAACAAACGCAATTGTGATTAATAACAATCACAAAAATTATTTAAATCCCAAATTACCCTTCTCTCAAAATGGCCGTGGAAAGCTTGATCTCACTCGTGACATTCATTTCCACAATCCTCCTCCTGGAAAATGACCAGAATGCCCTCATCACCACCACCTGCAAGAACACCCCCAACTACCCCCTCTGCGTCTCCACCCTACAGTCCGACCCCCGGAGCTCCGCCGCCGGCGCCGACGTCGAGACCCTCTGCCACGTCATGGTCTCAGCCGTCCGGTCAAGGGCCGACGAGGTGACGCGTGTCACGATCCCGGAGCTCAGGATCGCTCAGCCCCGGTGGGGCGGCCCGCTCAGCCAGTGCTACTTCTTCTACGACGCCGTTCTGAGGGCAGACATGCCGCAGGCGGAGGCCGCCCTCAAGAGCGGCGTCCCGAAGTTTGCGGCGGCAGGGATGTCTGACGCCGCCAAGGAGGCGGAGAACTGCGAGGCTGCGCTGAGGGACGGTGGAATTACGGATTCGCCCCTGCGGGGTATCAATCAGAATGTCGTGGAACTATCTGTTGTAGCCAATTCGATCATCAAGACCTTGTTATGAGCTGAGCCTTTTCTTTAATCATATCACATTTACGTGATTTCTAAAGTCTGCATACACATCTTTTTTAAGTACCCCTCTATTATTATACTTCCTCCATCCCATAAAACCTTTCTCCTTTCTTTTTTCATCCGTCCCATAAAACACTTCTCATTTCTGTTAAAAAATCACTTTTACCCCTTACTTTTTTATATCCTACCTATCACATCATACCTTTTTACTAATAATCTACCCATCAAATCCTACTTTACTCATCACATCAAAGGACATTTTTGAAAATTCAATATCAAAATACACTCTCCTTAAATCTTTTCAAAAAACAAAACATCTCATGTTTTATGGGACGGAGGAAGTATTTTATTATATTTTATGATGTTTGATTAGAATTATTTTAAAGATAATTTATTGAAAATTGATATAAAATTAAAAATTAAAAATTATTTATTTAAAAACTACTCCCTCCGTCCTAAAACTTTCTTCCCGTCGCGCAAAACGAAAAAAAATCCTAAGTTTTTTCAATCTATTTTATTTAAATATTGGTATAGAAATAAAAAATAAAACATACATATTTAAAAACTACATCAAAAGTTCAACAAAACAAGTGGTGACAAGAATATTTTATTTTATCATATAGGCCATAAAAAAACACAAATAAATATAAATTCCCGTGAAGTTGGAATAGTGCTCTGGGAAGAAAGTTTTAGAACGGAGGGAGTACAATAAAAAATTCTACAAAATACTCACTCCGTTCCACAAAACCCTTCCGGTTTTGACTTTGGGGAAAAATAAGAAAAATGTAATTTTGGTTGACTTTCCAATTTTGCCCCTGATGTGATGGAAAAAAGTAAGATGTGATAGTTTGGTTATTAGTGAAAAAATATGATGTGATAGGTAGGGTATGAAAAAATAGGGGTAAAAGTGGTTTTTTAATAGAAAGTGGAAGTGTTTTGTGGAAAGCAAAAAAAATGAAAGAGGAAGAGTTTTGTGGAACGGAGGGAGTATGCAACATGATTATATTATCTTATCAAACAAGTAACGAAATAGAAAAAGAAAGTTATTAAGATTTGCTCTCATAAATAGTAAACATGAAATTTAATTTGAGAGAAAGAGTGTACAAGATTTTATTTTAGGTTGATTGGTTAATTTTTGAAAAAAAATCATAATTAGTCCTTTATAAGTTTGAATTTTTCATATTTAGTACTCTATAACCAAATTTATAATTTAGTCCTTTATAGTCTATCTTTATCGATACCTTTTTACAAATAGTCCTTTTTTATTCTCTATCATATACTCCCCCCGTCCCTAAATAAACTTCCCTTTTCGTTTTTTCTTTGTCCCCAAATAAACTTCTCTTTTCTCTTAAAAAATCTCTTTTATCCCTTACTTTTCCATACCCTATCTATCACATCATACCTTTTTACTAATAATCTACATATCACATCTTACTTTTACACATCACATCAAGGGTATTTTTGGAAAGTCAACACAAAAATATCTCTCCCTTAAATCTTCAAAAAGTTAAAAAAGAAAGTTTATTTAGAGACGGAGGGAGTATGTGTTAATTTGAGGCTAAAAGTATAATTTCACAATAATCATTTATCTTTCTTATCATACACAATTCTAGAAGCCGTTCATGGTGCGTCGTTTGTGAATCATAGTCGCTGTCTACTATAATCATAGTTTATAGGTGTGGTTCATCGTCACAATGTTAATCCACAATTATAGTCATTATTGTTGTGTGTTTGTCTAAGCGACGCAGAATGTCACTGGACATAGAGTTAATTTCAAATTACACTTTTAGCCCTTAATAAATTAACATCAACATGAGAGAAGATAAAAAATTAAAACATAGATTATCAATGAAAAATATTTATAAAAGAAGGACTGCAAGAGTAATATTTGATAATAACGGACTAAATATGGAAAACTACTTCATATTATGAAGGATAAGTTATGAAATTTATTTGTTTTTTTGTGTTTTACTCATTATTTCCTTACTCTATGTTTGGCTAGCTCAAGGAATTTGAAAGGGAAAAGAAAAAAGATAATGAAGTAGAAAACAATTTTTCTTATTTGGTTAGAGAAAAAGAAAAGAAAAGTGGAAAGAAAAGAAAGTGAGAAGGAAAAATGTATTAAGTGGAGGAAAAATCCAGATTTCTCCCATTTTGATGAGAAAAAAAGAGAGAAAATCATTTTCTTTTCTTTTTTCTTCCAAGTTCTTTGAACCAAATATACTGTGAGAGTCCTTGGAGAACCCAAACATTTGATCTCATTTGCACACCGAGACAATTTCAGATACACACAAACATTGATACTATATTTCGTTCAAGAAATTTGGAAGAAAATAAATGAAAATGATTTTCTCTCATTTCCTCCCCAAAATGAGAAAAATTTACTCCCTCCGTCCCCCTGTATTTGTCCACATTTGACTTTTGGAACTGTTCATCTAAGCACTTTGACTCATCACATTCTCTCAATGTGTAAGCCTAAATATAGTCATGTGTGATCTTGTTTGATTTGTCTTAACATATAGATTATTAATATATATAATTTCTACTCCGTATAATTTTTTAATATACAAATTACAAGATAAAATAAATTAAAGAAATGCATTGGATGGTATGTAAAAATAAAAGTGGACAAATACAGGGAGACGAAAGAAGTAATTTTTTCTCCACTTAGGGGCTGTTTGGCAACTTCTGAATGGGTAAGTGCTGAACCAGTAAGAGGTTTGAACCATTAAGTGTTGAACCAGTAAGAGGTCTGAACCATTAAGAGCTAGTATATTGCTTAACTATTCAGAGGCAAATGTCTGATCAATTCAGATAAGAGCTCTTAACCATTCAGACTCTGTATAATGCTTAATCATTCAGAGGCAAATCTCTTAACCATTCAGACATCTGAACCATTAAGAGGCTGAAACAAACAGTCTGAACCATTAAGTGTTGAATCATTCAGACATCTGAACCATTAAGAGGCTGAAACAAAAAGCCCCTTAGTATATTTTGCCTTGTTATTTTCTTTTGTTTCCACTTTTTCTTTCTTTTCCATTCTAAGTTTCTAACCAAAGTTTAAAGTATTCTTCTTTAGTAACTATGGAGTAAACTTTATCTTTATCTTTTTGGTCCTTATTCTCGCACGATTTCCAATGTTAATCGTGGATTATGATTATGTTATTTATTCTCTCTGTCCCAACAAAAAATTCGATTTTGTCTATTTTTATTAAAATTATTTTAAGTTCAATTTAATTTAATATTATTTGTGTATTAAAAATAATTAAGACTTATATCTTAACATTCAAAAAAGAAACTTCTATCTAAAAATTGGTTGGAGTAAGTTCTAAAAATGATTCTCCTGTATAACAATACTATCAAAAAATTCAATTGTTTTATGAAATTCTATTGAAGATCCACAATAAATTAGAATACTTTCAATATTAATCATAGTTTTTAAAATTTGGAACATTGTATTTTTAAATCTTTTGTTTACACCCTTTTAAAGACCTCTGAAGAAAAGAGAATTAAAATTACTAATGGCGTTAAAATAGATCTCCAATTACTTAAATATTGTATTTCTCCGTCACAAAATTCTGGTAACAGTTAGTCTGTGCCAATTTTTGTTTTCCTGTTTTTGTAAATTATTTGAAAAAAAATAAATACATCTATCATCTCTTACGGAATATTTTGTAAGTCTTTTAATGTAGTTCTTTAAATTATATAATTTGAACTTTTTACTTTTATACAAATTGTTAAAAGATACTCCCTTCGTCCCTAAATAGATTACAATTTTTATTCTCCTCTCGATAACTTTTGTTTGTTTACACGATTTCATTAAGTATTTGATAAAATAAAATATTTTTGTCACCTCTTGTTTTGTAGAACTTTTGACGTAGTATTTTAATATGTAATTTTCATATCTTATTAATATACCAATTTGTAAATAAAATAATTTCAAAAAGTAGGAAATTTTACTCCGTAACCCGCAATTTGTAATCAAATTGGGGACGGAGGGAGTATACGATTTTACACGTTTTTCAAAGTGAGAAGATAATCTAAGAAGATGTTGGTGCAATAAACTCGTCAATTTTTCCAACAGAAAAAAACAGAGCTGTTAAGAAAAATATGAATTGTTCATTTATCAATTAATTAGGTCATGCTCCATCATAAGTTGCAGGAACAAATTGTCCATCATCATTTATCACCATCAAGCTGTCATTTGTATAGTATGTATACTATTTGTAATAATGTTAGCACTAAGCCTCTCTACTATAAATAAGAGGCTTAGGATCCCTGTAAATTACCATTAAGAATAAGAAGAAGAGTGAAGAGTTAATAGAGAGAAGAAATCAGAAATATATTATATCTATTCTCATAATCTTTGAGTAGTTTTTCTCTCATTTTATAACACGTTATCAGCACGAATTTGCTCAAAATCCCAGAATCCTTGTTCTTCTCAGAAGGTATATTTATTTAATTTTCTTCATAAACAAACCAAAATATTTTCTTAAAACTATGAGAAGTATGCTCTATGATTGCCCAAAGTTGGGATTCTTCACATCAGAAACTTATAGTTATAAAAAAAAAAAAATAAAATTAGATAATTAAAAGGAAGAAATTTCCTCATAATCCTAGAAAATCATATTTTTGATAAACTGGAATAAATAATAGAACTTAATATTGAGTAGCTATGATTGAAAAATAAAACATAACTTTATCTTTTAAACTAGTCTTAAAATATAAGATGTGAAAGAAATATATGTAATTTAGCTAAAAACCGAACATAGAAGACTTACGGAGTAATTTAATTTTTTATATAGCAAGTTTGGTTTTGCTCTGCCTCTAATTTTTCTGATATTCTGATGCTCCCTTGGACCATATTTTTT